CTGTTTTGTTAATTTCTGCCTGATTGAGAAAATTAACTTAATTTTCTTGCAATAATGAATCTTGCATTGCAATCAGAACTTCAGCATTAGAGTTTATAAGTAATTCAGACATTTCTCTTATTCTTAAGGGGTTGAAACTCTGGAGTGATACTTATAATTATATGATACTCATATAATACTGTACTAAGTTATATTTAATATAGCTGATCATTAATGAAGTTTAATAAACTCTGATTGTTTGACTAATCTACAATCTTATTGCTTTTCCAGAGTGGATTTTAATGAAAATATATGGTCACTATACTTATTGGTGCAATATACCCTCATTGCAATGACCATTTTCATTAGATTCGCATAATAAAAACTTACTAAAATGATCTTAATCGGTGCTTTTCATTCAGGGGTGTGAATCTAGTGAAGATTTTTTAGGTCATTTTTGGTTTTTGATTTTTTTTTTTAACTCCACAGTATCTTTAGTTTTGTAAACAGGAGTAAAATCCATAATATTTACTTGTGTGTAGTGTGACAGAGAGATGCACACACCTCTATAAATGACATTCAGATAAAATTTGAGAGCTTGTCCCTGAAGAGCATCTTTATAAATGAAAATATTTTTTAGTATGATGATTTTTCAAATATGTTTTAAAGGTCAGTTTACATGGAAATAACTGATTTAATCCTGTCAAAAGATAGTTCTTTACAGTTCTCTAAACTTTTTTCTTTTTGATATTGTTTTTGTTGTTATTCTCAAGTCCTTTTGTACCTTTCTTTTTTTGATTAATACGTAAAGACAATTGTGTGGCAGAAATAATTTATTTTCTATTGCAGATCATTTAATTTTAACATATACAATGATTTAAATGCATTTTTAATGTACAATGGCCAAATATCACCCTTTCTGAAACTTAACCTCTTCATATCTGCTTAAAGATTTTCCTTTTCAATAGACCACATTTGTCTCTTTTTTTCTGAACAGTTATAAAGAAGAATTCTAAATAATGTTAACATTATATTTATGAAATATATTTATGAAATAAGATATGAAAGCATATTTTTACATGAGGGGAATGAGAAAATATCCGTATTAGGTTAAATGTGCACAGTTATGCAGGACATACACTTTGTAGTTGAATGAAATTTATAAATCAAGAAATGAGGAGCAGAGTGTTTTTCTTTATAGTTCTCTATCACAAGTAATTGGGGTAATTTTTTATGGGAGTGTAGTTTCCTATGTGCCTTGGGGTGCTCTATCATTCTTGAAGATGGCTGTTAGGAAAAAAATTCTTTAAGAATAAAATAAACAAAGCACAATCCTCCTCCAGTATTATTTTAGGCAAGGCGTCCACATTTGGTTTATCAATAACTGTACTTCAAACTCAATGGAAGTTCCAGAAATAGAAATGTGTCTAGCAAAATGGGCATTTCAGGTCAGAGGGAATGATGGAGGCAGAAACGGGACATTGTGGGGCATTGAAAAAAGGATTTCTAGTTTGTTTTTTATAGCAGAGGGGTCATGAGGGAAGAAGTAGAAGGAAGCCTAGAGCCGAATCATACATGGCTTTGAATGCCATGTTAAGGATATTAGTCTTTTTTCTATAGGTCATCAGGAGGCATTGAATATTTATGGGAATGTGATAGTGATTCATAATCTTTATTGAGCTTCAGTGTGCCAAGCACTGCTCTAGGCATTAGGGGTACACCCCTAAACCAGACAAAAATCCCTGTGTTTGTGGAGCTCACATTTTTAGTGTGAAAAATAAACAAAAATAATAATAAAGTAAATAATAGATTATGTTGAAATGTGCTAAGTCCTATTGAAAAAAGGAAAATTAGAGAATGGTAAATCAGGTCAGGAGAGCCAGGAATGTGGAGGGGGCGGATGTTTCCATTTTAAATAGGATGGAACCAGTAGGCTTCACTGAACAAAACCTTGTAAGGAGGGTGAGGAAGTGAGCCGTACGGAGAATGGAAAAGAGCATTCGAGGCAGAAGAAAGCCAGTGCATGTGGCTCATTGCCTTATTAGGGAGCAGTGAGGTGGTCCATGTGACTGGAGCTGGGTGAATGAAGGGAGAGAAGCAGGAGATGAGGTCAGAGGGATATGGGGAGTTTGCAGATCAATAGGGCCTTGTAGGCCATTGTAACAACTTTGACTTTTGCTGGGAAGGAAAATAGAGAGCTATTGGATAGTTTTGAGCTGAGGAGTGACATGATGTGACTTTGGTTTTCACAGTATCACTTCTGTGTGCTTTGTTCAAAATTAACTGTAGGAGAGCAAAGGTGGAAGCAGGGAGACAGGATGTTACTACAGCAATCTGGTCAACAGCCGATGGTGGCTTGAACCAGATCTTTGCAGACTGCAAAAGGATTACTATGGGACTGGACAGCTGCTTGACTATTGGGAATGAAGGAGTGGGAGGAGACCAAGGTGACCTGCAAGTCTTCAACCTAGACAAGTGGAATGCAGGTGCTACCATTAACATAAATGTTACCTTCTTATTTGTAAAATGAGAGGCTTTGACCAGATTATCGCAAATTCTATCCAGTTTGAATAGTTTCTAACTCCATACTGTGTGTTTTAGTATGGACAAAAAGTATGTTAATTCCAAAAAAGAGAATAGTAGTGGGGAGAGAGGACCACTCAAGTCTCTTCCCGTAAGACCAGATGGAAATATTGCTAGCAATTATTTTTTTCTTATGTCTGTCTCCTGTGATTAAACTGTCAACATGTATTCAGTTGAGATACACATTTGAAGCATTTCAGACATATGTATACCTTAACTTAGAAAATTTGACTAAATAAAATTATATTTTCCCCTAATTTACATTCTTCCTTTAGAGCTATGGATACATTTCCAATCTTGAGCTAATAACTTCAAAGGATGGAAAAATAAGGAAAACAAGAGTCACCTGAAGAACTGCATAATGTGTCTCAAAAATCTAGGTGGACAGGCAGGCACACATCCGGATGGTGGCAGGGTTAGTTAATGGACTTTGGATTCTTTGCCATTTCTTTCTCTGATTTTGCATTATGTGAAATCACAAAGCTTGCCATTGTGCAAGAGTTTTCTGTAACCCACTAGAATAACTAAAGAGAAAATAACTGGTAGAGAGAGTCCTAGGGTGAATTCATCTTTCTTAAAATAGCTTCAGCTCTGATATAAATAATCCCCTCTTTTCTTTTTCCTAGGCAGTAAAGATTGATTGGGGTTTGTGTCAGCAGGATATAATGAAGACATAGTACAGAGATTAGATGTTTAGATCCCTGAGGGAATCAATGGATTAAAAGTAGAAAAAGAACTGTATATACAAGTATAATAGTATATTTGCCCCAACTGATCCAGGGGAGGATGATCTTTAACAGCACTGGGTTGGTGGTATTTGAAGATGATTTCATGAGATCCTGAGACCAAGCAATTCTCACTCAAAACTCATGATGGAATCCTCCTCACCAGTGAGAAGACTGTATTTTTCTTAGTAAAGAGGGATGTGAACATACATGACCAAGTTGATACACATTATTCAGCTTCGGTTGTAAGAAATCAACGTATAGAGGGCTGGCCCATGGCTTACTTGGGAGAGTGTGATGCTAATAACACCAAGGCCACGGGTTCGGATCCCTATATGGGGATGGGTGGTTAGCTCACTTGAGAGAGCATGGTGCTGACAACACCAAGTCAAGGGGGTTAGTTAAGATCCCCTTACCGATCATCTTTAAAAAAACAAACAACAAACAACAAACAAACAAAAAACCCCAATCTTGTATAAATATTACTTCTTTCAACTGAAATTTAACATACAAAAGATATGAACAGACATCACCAAAAATAGCAAATAAGGGGCCGGTCCGTGGCTCACATGGAAGAGTGTGGTACTGATAACACCAAGGCCATGGGTTTGGATCCCTGTGTAGGGATGGCCGGTTAGCTCACTTTGGAGAGCATGGTGCTGACAACACCAAGTCAAGGGTTTAGATCCCCTTACCGGTCATTTTTTCAAAAAAAAAAAAAAAAAGAAAGAAAAAGAAATCAATGTATTATATGTGGCAGAAGGGTTAAATTCAATTCCTAACAGACAGTCTTTAACAATCTGGTTCTTTTCCTTATTACATCTCTTAAGTGGCACATCGAAGTATTTATAATATAATAAAACTGCGCTTTATGCAAATCATGTTACTGTATGGTCTTGAAGTATCTTCTGAATCATGGAAGATTACTAAATTGTTAGTTATTACTTTAGTATTGTTGTACTCTAATTCTTCAAATAGTGGTGCCCATATGTTACGAGGTATTTTTTTTAACCATTGTGTTTTATAAACTAGAAAGCACCATTTTCAATGATTCTCAGTATAAGTTCAATTTTATTTAGAATATTTACAAAGGTATCCTTTAAATATCTGTTAGATGTAACACTGAGTTCTTAGATGGAGCTGTTTCATTATATTTCGTTGCTGTTAAATGTGACATTTTCCTATTGTACATGTTTTTTTTTTGTCCTTTTTGAGACCAGCCGCACCGCGCTCAGCCAGTGAGTGCTGTGAACGCACCGGTCATCCCTATATAGGATCCCGCGCCGCACTGTCCCGAGTGCGCCACGGGCTCGGCCCGTACATGTTGTTTTTTAATTTTAGGTATCTTAAAAACATGATCATTCATTCCAAAACTTCAAAAAAACCTGCAAAGGTTTATGATTTTGCTGTATCTTTCCTCTCATTTGAACATTGTGGAAGTGATGGCTGATCCAGGTCTGGCTTTGGGACCTTGGGAGCCATATTTTTAAACAAACCCCACCCCTTTAATTTTTAATTTTTAAAAAGTTGTGCTTTTCTGTTTGTAAAGAATGTATTATTTATATATTTGAACTTTCTAATTCTTTTTGCTACTTACAGTTGCTAAAGTAAAAAATGAGAATCATTCAATTATTATTTTCTTGTTTGATCTATGAATTTCTCTTATCTGACTGGTATTTCTTCTTTTTGTTTGTTTCCTTTTGGTTTTAATAGAACATTCAAATAAAAACTTTGGCAGATGATGTGGTAAGGTGGTCTTAGCAGCATGTTATTACATTACTTATGCATGTTGCCTTTTCATTAAAATGGGTGGACATGAAAGCATTGATATATGTAAGATACAAAATGTCTGGGTGTTTACAAAGTACAGTAGAATGGAATAGAATGACTTCTCTCTTTTGAATATTAACTATCTATAAACTATTGTGTGAGATCCCAACAAAATTTGATATCATCCTCCTGATATGTACTTAAACCAAATGTTTTTTTAAATCTCTATGTAAATGTAGACTCTGGAAAACACAGGCATTTCCTTTTTTGATAGCCAAATAAATTGACTGTGAATATATTAAACATTAATATTGGAGGAAATTAATTTCAAATAGAAAGGAAATTAAATTCATTCTATTAGTCAGATATAGGCTATTAAATTTAAAAACCTTAAATATTTTCAAGCTGAGTCTACCATAGTAAAACATTAAAAATTATAGTCTCAAAATTTAAGTGTGCCCTTTTATAGCTAAACTTTAAAAAAGGTATTTTAAGCAGTGTAAATTTTTTTCTGTGTGAAATTACCTATCTGCAAATAATGTAAAATAGTGTTAGTACTCTAAGGAGATGAAGGTATGTGGTTTAACTTCATTTTCTTACCAAGATATAGCTGAAATCAAAAGCCAATTTTCTAGATAAAAATGAAGGATGTAGCATAAGATCAAATATTTGTAAGTAATGCTACTCAGTAAAAAAAAAAAAAAAAAAAAAAAAAAAAATCATAGCTCTAAAGTTGCCACCAAAGACACATTCTCCCTGAAACAACCACAGGACTTTGATCCGAGACTTTTTTTCACCAATTTACTGTGCAGAACAGAAAGGACAAGGGACTAAGTTTTACTTTTGAGGAATACTTTTCACCCCCAGACTTCTGCCGCTGAAGAACTACTTCAAGCTTTCAAAATAGTACAATCTGAAGGGAAAGGAAAAGAGATATGTTGATTTGATGGTCAATTACATGTTTAAATGCTTTCATCTCCACCGTATCTTTAAGTGAAATTTGACTGTTGAATATGTACTCAGCTTCTTTGGGATTACTTATTTTTTTTTTTTTTGAGTTGTGTGAAGATATACTCCGTATCTAAACCAACTTAATTTCCCTCAAAGAATTAGAAGAAAATTTGAAAATATGGTTCAAGATGATTCAGAGAAATGAACCTTAAGTTAATGTGAAGACTGGGATAGGAACCAGGGGCTCGAAAATCTAGACAAGTCACTCTTTCTGTGAAATGAGGGAGTTGGTCTAGATAATTTTTCAAGTTTCTTCCCACTTCTAAAAAATTATAATTTATATAATCTCTTGGTAAGCAACATGTACCAAATCATTTTTGTAATCCTAAATAAGCTGCTTAAACTGCTGATATTTCTTTCAAAGTACACCTTTTAGTTTAAAAAAAAGTGTTCTTTGAATTAGTAAAATAAAGGTATGTTCTTTAATTGGGGTCAACATAATTTTACATAAGCTGTAGTAATAACTTCTATGGGGCTTTTTGTATTGTTGAAGTAATTTGTAAGGACTCTGGTAACATGGCAGTGAAGATGCACTGTCCTCATATCTAACATGTCTGCTTGTTTAACTTGAGCCAATGGTATGCATGTGCTTCCTAACAGAAACCAGAATAAAACTGAGTTGCATTCAGTTTTATGTACATAACTAATTTTTGATGTCTAACATTTTGTGGTTTAAAATTGAATGGCCTGTTTATATGCAACTGAAATCATTAACCCACTTTATGTGAAATAGCAAGCTAATTATTAGAGATTGTGCATTGACTCAATGGTTCAAAGTCAATATCCATAAAATAGCAATTTCTTCCTAATAGTGTTTATGATAATAAGATATTTCTGTTTATGTTATATTTCTAGTAAGTGGAAAAGTTGATGTTTTTATTTTTGTTTTGCTTCCTCATTGGTCTCACTTTTTAGAGAAGAAAAAGTTGAGGGAAAATAAAAATAATAGTACCAACAATAATAATAAATAGCAGCTAAGCACACTAAACATATTAAGTTAAATCTCACAATAACTCTATGGTGTAGGTAATGTAATTATCCCTATTTTAGAGATGAAGAAACAGTTATAGAGACCAAGTAACCTTCATAGGGTCACCCAGCTAGTAAATGGCAGAGCTTGGATTCAGACCCAGGTAGTCTGGCTTCAGAATCCATGTTCTTAACCACTCTACTCTGCTGCTACACTGACATATTATTCATATATACTTGTCACAATTTTTAACACTTTGAAGATGAGAAACGTAACCGTAATTTTTCCACATAATTGGATATTTGTAGCTCCTTTTATTTTGTCTCTTTTTTTCATAGCTCTAAAGTTGCCACCAAAGACACATTCTCCCTGAAACAACCACAGGACTTTGATCCGAGACTTTTTTTCACCAATTTACTGTGCAGAACAGAAAGGACAAGGGACTAAGTTTTACTTTTGAGGAATACTTTTCACCCCCAGACTTCTGCCGCTGAAGAACTACTTCAAGCTTTCAAAATAGTACAATCTCTAACGGGAGCTTGCTGCTTAAAATAACATTTTGTCAAAAGACAATAAGGATATGTATTATACTAAGTGCCATTTTGATGTTTCTATTCTTCATGTTCGTGGTTCTTGATCTGTTTCTTAGGGCTTTTTTTTCTGTTTGCAGCGTGACCGAATTACAAGTTTTAGAAAATCTACTGTCAAAAAAGAAAAACCTCTTATTCAACATCCTATTGATTCTCAAGTTGCGATGAGTGAGTTTCCAGCAGCTCAGCCATTATATGATGAACGATCTTTGAATCTGTCAGAAAAGGAAGTACTGGATCTCTTTGAAAAAATGATGGTAAGTTAGACCCCTAATTTTGTTGTAATTTAAAAATGTGTGTGCCCAGAATATCACTGGGTTTTAAGTAGGTGTGTTTGTATGGTTGTGTTTATATCAGAAAAAGAAGAGATCAGAAACTTGTTGATACAACAGAACTATTTGCAAAAGTATCTGTTTTTTGAGCTAAAATGGCTTTGTCTCTCTCTTTCACTATGAGCTCCTAAAAGCGGGGGCAGTCTCATTTATCTTTGTTTCTTAGTACCTGTATTTACTAGTCTCTGGCACAGTGAATCAATTTTTCAATTAACTAATTTGTATGCCTGTTTCTATAAAGCAAAACAGGCCTAAGTCCACTTTGCTGAAAACAGCACAAGGTCTCTTGTTGGGTATATGAAATAGAGTTGGGAGGGCAGAGGGTAAGAAACAGTAGAGGGAACAGAGAAATTAATTAATTCAAGTTTGTTCTATTAGCAACAGTCATAAAATCTGCATTTTCTAGCATGTTTCTTATGTTTTATAGCTTATGGCCTAAATTTGTTCCTATATTAGATAATGAATATAATATTTGGGGTATTCACTTTTCTCTTGTGATTATTACTGAATAGGATGCCTACCATAGTACTAGGACGTAGTAGGTGCACAATGAATGTTATATACTGATTATGTGAAAGAATGAATGGATGCAGTTTAATATGATCATACTGTATTAGAGTACTTTTAAATCCTGGAAGTGACCAATAAAAACTGGTAATATTAAACAACTTATAAATAAAAGAAATATTTTGAGTATTCAGCAGTTTATGGTAGGAGAGGGGAGAAATGAGGTATTGGGTCATATTACATTGGTTAGCTTGATGAGAGAAGGACTAAAGATCCTTAATTCATGATTCATTCATTTAAAATTTTATCCCACTTATCAATACAAATATTTGTGTATGTCTTTTTATCGGTAGTTAGGGATCACAGGAGTTTCAAAGGTCCCCTTACCCACACCAAAATAAAAGGTTAAGAATCAATGAATCTAGATCCTCTACCCACTATGGAATATCTTGTTACCACCCCTCTCCATACCCCCACTATTTCTCTCCTGTGCCTAGAAGAGTTAGTAGACTTTTAATAAATATTCATTGAAAGTTGTTGAATAAATACATACAAATTACCTTTATCTTTGAAGTTTTCCTTGACTCTTCCTTGACTCTTCTTGTCTAGCCACAACTGGCATTTGGCTTTTTCCATGCAACAAGTCCTGTCACCCTCTTAAACTCTTCCTCTGAGTCCTGTGGTGCACCCTTTTTCCTGCTGCTCTTTCCATGTCATCTTCTTTGAATCATCATTCAACAATCTTTTCTCTTGTGAAGTCTTTTACCTGCTGATCTTACTTGATGATGATAGCACCTGGATATCCTTTTGTCCTTTTCCCTTGCTACTCATTTTGGTTATATCAACTATTATGTTGATAACCCCTTCAGTACATCTTTGCTCTTAGTTCCTTGATTTTCTAAACTCTGACCTCTGCATCTCTATTTGTAGCTAATTATAGGTATGACCACACCTTGGACAGTGTCATTTTTTGAATAATACCTCCTCTAATATCTTTTACTCTAAAATTCTCCTTGGAAGCTAAACAACCTATACTTACTCTCCAAGGCCCTACATTTTACAGAGCGTGTATTGTGTTGTGGTTAAGAACTTGGACTTTGGGGTCATTCAGATCTGTGTTTGACTTTTGGCTCTGCCATTAATCTTCTCACCTTGTGAAGGCTATATAAGCTCTCTATACTTTATTTTCCTTAACTGTAACAAAGGCATAAGAGATCTACACTTATTTTTAGGGTTAAAGGAGATGCTAGAATAGTGTCTGGTATATAAGCTTTCTATATAAGCACTTTTATAAACGTTTGTAGCATTCCCTTCTTTTATTAAACAAGCCCTGTTCTTTTTTCAGTTGCCAGTATTTTTGATAACCTAGATGCCCCTCAGTTTGCCACCCTTTTATTCTATCTTATCTTAGTCACCAAAGACAACAAAAAACCGGAAGCATTCCTTGAGACTATTAATAATTTTAATCTTTTTAAATCTTTCTTCTTCTCTTCACTCAAAAATTATACTTATATGGTTTTAATCTGCTGACCAATTTGGGTACTGCTTTTTGCAGTATTGAAATAGATCTCTGAGTTCAGCATTGGCATTGCCATACTTCATTTCCCTTAAGCTCAATACTACAGGGCCATCTTCCACTCCATTCCTTTTCTTAGTCACTTCTAATTGCTTGCCAAATTCCATTGGTCCTGCTTCTGTGATAACTGTGTTATATCTACGTCTTCACTTGTCTTCTAGCCGCTGTTGCCCTCGTTTAGATGATATCCCTCTGTAGTTTTTTCTTGTGGCTACTAACATAACTTCCTAACTGATCTTTTTCCTGTTATCCAGGTTTTTGCCTATTCTAATCCAGTATTGCCCTATTAATGATTCTGAAACAGATTCCTTTCATGAAGCCCCAAGTGGGACCTTATGTTTCAATCATTTTATAAATCCCTACTCCATTCCCTCAACTATACTCCTAGATGAGTATTCCACAACTTTAGTTTGCTGCTCAAACCTCAGAACTCTTTCCATCTCTGCTGATGACTTTGCTGCTTAATTTACTGAGTAAATTGAATAGAACTTACACAGGCTCCCACCACCACATCTATCTAACTTTTAGTATCTGTACTCACATAGTCTGTCTTGCTACCTCTCACCATTGGTAAGCTTTTCATGTGCTTATCCTTCCACTTGTGTATAAGACCCCATTCCTTTTCACCTACTCACAGACATCACTCCAATAATTTTCTCTTCTCTTTTCTACTATTCCCAGCAGCATACAAACATGCTGTCCCGTGTTCCAAAAACCTGCTCTAGACCCTAACCCTATTGCCAGCTATCACTCCATTTATTTACTCTCCTTTGAAGGAAAGCCTAACCTCACAATCATTTTGTTTATGTGTACTGCTTCCAATTTCTCTCCTCTCAAGTCACTGTAACCAGGCTTCCATCCCACCATTCTATCAAAATCGCTCTTATTCATGTCACCAAATATCTTCATGCTGCTCAATCCCATGCTCAATTCTCAGTTCTCATCTTAATTGGCCTTGTGACAGCATTTGGTGCAGTTGATCATTCTCTCCAATTTGAAACACTTTATTTTCCTTCCTCTTCATTCATCTGGTTTTCTTCCTACCTCTCAGGCTGCTCCTTTTCAGTATTCTCTGCTGCTGCTTCTTTATGACCTCAACCTCTAAATGTTGGAGAGGCTCAGGAATCAGTTCTTGGACATTTTTATCTATCTATACTATTTTTTTGGTGATTGCAACCAGTCCTGTGGCTTTAGATTCCATTTGTATGCTCACAGTTCTCAAATTTACCTTCAGCTTACTCCTCACATCTGAACCCCAGACTGATGTATCAAATTTTGTAGTAAACACCTGTCCTTGGATGTTCAATAGGACTCTGAAAATAACATCCCAAAATGAACTTCTGATATTTGTCTCCAACTTCCTCCTCCAAAGTCTTCCCCTTCTCAGTTGATGGTATCTCCATCCATCCACTAACTTAGGCCAAAAACTGTGGAAATCTCTTTCTCACATTTCACATTCAATCCATTAGGAAATCCCTTGAGCTCTCCCTTCAGAGTAAGGTACTTTTGCAATATCTGACCATTTCTTGCCAGCTCCACTGGTACCACACTGGTTGAAGTCTCACCTGGATGACTACAATAATGGTAGGACTATTCAGATTACCACAACTCCTAATTGGTCTCCTTGCTTCCACCCATGACCTTCTATATTTGCAATATATTGTAAGCCAGTATACTTGCAATAGCCTATAAGGCCCTATTGGTCTGAACCCCTCCACCTTAGCTCTTTAATATCTTCCTCTACTGCTCTCTTCCCTTGTTCACTCTGCTTCAGTACACACATACCTGTTATGTGATTGTAGCAACAATAATTCCTGGTGATTTTCAATTTTTATATTTGTGTACAACATTTACACTGTTTTCGAACTTTGTACAGCATTCCTATTTTCTGGTTTGAATATTCTAGTATTCCATCAGAAAATTACCATTTTCCTCTTTAAATGTGTGGTGGTTTTAAATGTGATATAAATAAATGTACAGCTTGGTGTCACATTTTCCCTAATGGGAATTTTTTCTTCCGTGGGAATCTTGGAATAAGATATTAAGAAAAGTTATTTTTCAGGTCCTATCATATTGTGTTATACTTTTATTTGTTGGGTCTCATTTATGTTCTTATGTCACCCATATACTCAAACATTATAAACATGTATATTTAGACATTAAAAACTTATTTATAAACAGTAGTGGGATTGCTGGATCATGTGGTAGTTTTTAATTTTTTGAGGAAACTCCATACTGTTTTCCATAATAGTCGTACTAATTTATATTCCCACCAACAGTGTGCAAAGGTTCCCTTTACTCCAAATCCTCAACAACATTTGTTATCTTTTGTCTTTTAGATAAAATCCATTCTAACTGGTGTGAGGTGATATCTCTTTGTTAATTTGCATAATGTTAAGTGAAATAAGCCAGATACAGAAAGACAAATATCTCATGTTCTCACTCATATGCGGAATCTAAAAAAGTTGATCTCATGGAAGTAGAGTAGAATGGTGGTTACTATAGGCTGGGGTGGTTGAGGGTGAGGGTGGAGAGATGTTGGTCAAAGGATACGAAATTTCAGTGAAGAGAAATAAGTTTAATAGATCTATTATACAACACGGTGACTATAGTTAATAAAATATTTTGTATTCTTGAAAAATGCTGAGAGTGCATATAAAGTGTTCTCACCACAAAAATGGTAACTATATGAGATAATACATATGTTAATTAGCTATATTTAGTCATTCCACAATGTATATATATCAAAACATCATCTTGTACATGGTAAATACATACAATTTTATCTGCCAAATTAAAAAAACCTTATAAATGAATATAAATTATTTTTAAATAGTAGGAT